AAGCTTGTTCTAGGTAGGTGCTTTAGACCACTGAGCCATCTCACCAGCCCTCGTAAAATCTTTTTAAAGTTTAAATTAACACCTGTTAGACCCAAAAGTTGCTTTGTTATAGTCTCATTTTAAATTTTTTGCCCTGGGGCTGGTGAGATGGCTCAGTGTTCTCAAGCACCTACTTAGAACAAGCTTAGCAAAGCACAGGGACCGCGGTTCAATCCCCAGCACCACATGCCAGCCAGCCAGCCCCCTGGTGGGCTGAGCAGGCCACACACACACATAATTAAATAAATAAATAAATAAATAAATTTTTTGCCCCAAAATTTTCTTCCTGATCCAAGAAATTAGCTCATTATTGCTGACAAAAAAACTATTTCAGTGACTTTTTTCTGAAAATGGTAGTAAAGAGAATAAAGCTGTAAATTTACAATAAAAATACATAAATAAAGGTTTAAAAAATGTGAGCTGGATGTGGTGGGGCAAACCATACGCCTGCCTCTTGGGAGGCGGAGCCAGCCTGGAGCCCATAATGACAGCCTGTCTCAAAAACCCCCAAACTAGACCAAAAAACCAAAACCAGGCAGATATTAAAATGCTTTTATATATACTGCATTGATGTGATTTTGTGTCCATTTTCCCTTACTGATAACATTTGACTGCTCTTAATTGAGGAGTATTCTAATTAATTTGATGTGATTTACTTTGACAGATTCCTTGTTTTATTTCACGCATGAGAGTTAATTAGTTTAATAATAATTAACACGTTAATTTTGTACATGTCAAGTAGAATTTTCACAACAAAAATATGCCGCTTGAAAATAAAAATGCAAAAATTTGTTTAGAATTTTTTCTGTTTCAGTAGTTACACGGTATGTTACACCACATTCTAGATTGAAATACAGCTCAATAGCACTAAAGCTGGCTAGAGTCCAGAGTTCTGTGCTCCAGTGTCGATTCAAGTAATATTTCCTAGAACTCAGTTTTGGTTTTTTGTTTTTGTTATGTTTTTTTTTTTTTTTTTTTTTTTTTTTTTTTTTTTTTTTTTTGAGGAGGGGGTTGTTTGTTTGTTGGTGGAACCAGGGATTGAACTCAAGCCCTTGTGCTTGCCAGGGAAGTGCTTATTCCACTGAGCCATCTCCCTGGCCCCCTCAGGTGATATTTCCTAGAAAGACATCAGTTTTCTTGCCTTTTCCTATTTCCTGACTTCAAAATACTAACATACCATTACTTAATTTTTTAAAAATATATGTTTTTCTCATGTTTGTGTCACTAAGGAAGACTTTTTTAAAAATTTCAGTTGAAATTTCTTGCCATTTTATATGTGTGTTAATTCCAGATTTAGCATCCTCAAAAGTGAAAATTTAGATGATAGAGAGCAGGCCCTGGAATTCCTGAACAGTCCGTGTATTTGCCATTCTTGGTCTTCCCCTTCCCGCTCGGCCTCTCTGGCATTGTTCCAAAGGCTCAAAATTAGTGCGTTGCTGTTTTCATTTGTATTAGTTTGTTACTTCTGCACCTGTAGGTGACTGCACTAACTGATTTCAGTAAATTCATAAAGGAAAAAATATTTTAGCCTTTTTTCAGTTAAACCTACAGAAAGTGTTGGTGTTAATTGAAAGTGATCTTTCCTAATTTCTTAACATGAAAAAGATCAACACGTACTGAAGGTATGGTTTCTTAAGTTTCACATGAATTTTGTTTCCCATTTTAATTATTAGGTTTCACAGATACCATCTACTATTTCTTAGTAGTAGTCTTTTATTACCTCCTCCCAATGGTGATATACTAACTTGTGTCCATATTATTTCATTTAGTAGTATTACATATTATTAAAAAAGTTTTGCCATGCTAAAAACGCTGTTGGCTACTTTTAGTTTCCTCTGGCATATTAGATGTAACCATTTCTGTATTCCCTTGCCATGAACATTTTTTATTCCTTAATATTCTTTTACATGGACTTGGGCAACCTGGTAAATAAGAAAACTGTGCAGAAGTATTTGCTGTGTAACAATGGTGTGGTTTTGTTCCAGATATTAAATTTTGTGTCTTCTTTCTTAAAATAGATGATCCATAATTATATGGAACATTTAGAAAGAACAAAACTTCATCAGCTCTCAGGGAGTGATCAACTAGAAGCCACAGCTCACAGCAGGATTAGGTAAGCTTTGTTATTCATTTTACCTTGGGAAAAAATGAGATAAATAATCTGTTTTGCAGCTGTTTTTTCCACTCTTTAATCCCAGAACAATAGTCAGGCAGATTCTAAAAGCTCTGTTGTGGTTGGAATGCTATAGCAGAGAACAAACCCAGCCTTTCCTACTGAAAGGGTAAACTCTGAGAACTGGGCTGGATAAGTAGCATATTGAGGTATTTCGATTTTTTTAATAGTCTATGGAATTACCCTAGCTTTGGAATCTCATACGTGGGAATGCTGAGAATTCTTCCTAGCTCTTGTATAATTGGTCCTTTTTGTTACTGAGAGGCATGTTTGAAAGGGCTAGCCAGCCATCCGTTTGCTGTAGGAGTGTGAATAAATTATGTAGATCTCGGCCTCGGCCAATGAGCTCCGCCCGGGCTCGTAGTGGCGAGGAACGCAGTTAGCAGGCCGGCTGCGGCCGCCCTGGCACAAACGCTGGGAGCAGCCGCTCTGAGCGCGAGGCGGGCAGAGCGGGATGACGTCACCGCCCGGAGCCGCTGCAGGATGGAGTGGAAAGCTGCTGCTGATGGCATTGTTTTTGTGGCAGCTGCTGAATGACAGATCCTCACTACAAAGATCCCCCTTTGGCCCCGGTGTAGGCCTCCTGTTTCGGGCGTTCCACCATGCCAGCGCAGCGCCATGAGTCCTGGATGCATGCTGCTGTTTGTGTTTGGCTTTGTTGGCGGGGCGGTGGTCATTAATTCTGCTATCCTCGTGTCTCTCTCCGTCTTGCTGCTTGTGCACTTTTCCATTTCTACCGGGGTGCCGGCTCTGACGCAGAACCTACCGAGGATACTCAGGTACTCCAGCCTCTCCTGGAAGCCCAGGCTTCTGGTTTGTCTTAAGGTTCTCGCTCCCCAGGTCTGCTCTGTAACCTTTTCTGTCGCAGCTTGAAACAATGGAAAATGGCCTGAGGCTAGAATGTCTGTTCGGATCTGTAGTAATTTATAGGCCACCACTTAGGAAGCCTGCTTTGGATTTGGAAACTGCAGAATAAAGCAGAGATTTTCTTAGTTCTTCCACCCAAGTACAAGGTCAGCGTGGTCGTGTGTCAAGCAGGACGCTGAGGAGTAAGGGGAGAGCAGGAGCAGAGTTCCTGCGACCCGGGCTTAGCTTCCGAGCTCGGGCTGAGCCATCGGCGGGTCTGCAAACGAGTAGCCACAGTGTGGGTTTCTTTTGTTCCAATTTTCCTTGACCAGTGGAGGTGTAGCTATCATTTTTATAATTTTTAATAACCTCATGGGAATTGGCAATTTAAGTATTTTCCTTCTTAAGCAAAAATATTTTAAAGTAAAAGGATTTAAACTTTTCAGAGCTAAGACTGTGTTACTCCATTCTTTACACATGGAAGTTGTGAAAGCCTTACCAAGCCTATTCACTATTGTTTTGTCAGATGTCGCCCATTCTTTGCTTTGTAGTCCCGGGTGACAAATGTCCCTGCTGCCTGTGGGGGTGGTCACTCGCTCCAGCTTGCCTGCCGCTGGCTCCACTGCAGCCCCAGAACAGCCTTCACTTCGCAGAGGCTGCAGATTTGGGGTCTTTTGTTTTCTGACTCATCAGAGTAGCTAATTTGTTCAGATTTCTGCTTTGTGCTTGCTTCTAAATGAGGGCTTATCAGTGTACTTTTTATTTGTTACTTAAGTGGTCACAAAAATAATGGAATTCTAACTGTGGATTTAGACTTAAGGATTAAAGTAGCTCCCTCGGTGTGTTCTTTTTTTAATTCACCAGGCCAGTTTAGATTCAATTTTAATTTAGGGCCCAGAAGTTAAATTTCATTTGTGGTCTAAAAGTAGATGCTTGCTTATTAATATATTTTCATTCCTGATTTCTAAAAATCGAAACAATCTCCTAACTGATTCATATGAAAATTTTATAAAGTATCCAGGCATATTTAGGCTTCAAAAAGATTACCAACACCTGAACTTAAGAATCCGTCGAATATTAAGACTACTGCAAGGGACCACCTTGGGCTCTGCCCTGCGCCAGCAGCCCTGGAGCATTTGGATTCGCTCCCTTGTGGGTGGCTTTAAAAACTGAGAGGGAGATTATTTTGTGTTAAATTTACAGTTGTAAGATATGTGGTAAATTAATTTGATAATCATTAGTATGTGTCCCACTTTTAGCAGAACTGTTAAAACAGTTACTTTATTGATAGATGCATTATACTCAAACTGTAAAAGTTACAGGACACAGAAGCTGCAGTTAGTTTGATTGAATAAACATAGTAGTCTTCAATATTAAGTTCCAGTTGTCAGAATGTTGCTCGCTCCAAGGGAGAAGATGGGCCTCTGGAGCCCACAGGCCCGGCCTCGCACCCGGCCCTGCACTCGGCTCTACAAGTCCCTCGGCATTGCTCTGCCTGCTCTGAAACTTAGCAGAATCACCCCTCCTTCCCACGACTGGTTAAATGAGATACTGTCAGTGAATCGTGTAGCTCAGTACCTGTCATGTGGAGAGCATTCGGCAAGTGTGATCTTTTTATTGCCCTTTGTCTTAATAATTAGTTATATTAAATGTAAATGTGGCTAAAAATCTCTTTTAAAAGCATATTTGCAACATTATTTAATCGTATAAACTAACATTTTAAATAATGAGCTAAAAAAAAAAACCCTAATATGTAGAACTAAAGCAATTCAAAGAAATAACCAGGATTCTGTTGATGACAGCTTTGCTTCTAGTAGAAAGTGCTATTTCTAAGCAAAGACAGCAGATATTTCACTCTAGAGGTTAAAATGCCCCTTGATGTTTCCGCATGCATCCCCTCCTTTGGTCACTTACTCCAGGTGTTTCAGAGGCCTATAACGCAGAAAGCGCCAGACACGCATGCCGCAGAACCTGGGCGGGCATCTCAGGACCTTGCGTGCATACATGTCTCTCCCCACCTGTGTCTTAGGTAATTTACCAGTAAAAGAAGAGCAATCAAGGACACTACTGCTTTTCCAGAGTGCATCCCAGGGTTGTACTGGGCCTCCTGACAGCTGCTGGTCTGTGACCCTCCTCACTGTCCTAGAGAGCAGTTTCTGAATGACTAACAAAAGCAAGGGGAAGAAGAGGTGGAGATTCTCCTTGTGTGTTGGGTTGTAGATTTAGTAGGAGAGTAAGTATTTGATATCTGTGAATATGAATGCATTGGCATTGGACTAGGAAGAGCTTCTAACAGCTGGCTGGTGTTTTGATGTCTTGCAGCAGAGGTGGGCTCACATGAGTTTCTGCTAGCCCCCATGGCGTGCTGGGGTCCGAGCTTTCCAGTAGCCTGGGGCTGAGTAAGTTCCCAGTCACTTCTTACTTAAGGCAATAGAGGACATTGGAGAAGAAATAAAGGTCAGCTTACAGTAGCTCTTAGGTGTCTCACAACATGTTCCCCAAGTTGGGCACCAAACCTCAGGTTGACTTAATGGACAGCTTATCGTTTTGTGGGTTACAGATATGAAAAAGAGAATTAAAGCAAGGAGTAATAGCACACATGTATAATCCCAGCACTACGGGAGGCTGAGGCAGGAAGATCAAAAGTTTGAGCCTGGCCTAGATGACTTAGTGATTTAGTGAAACCCTGTATCAAAATTAAGAACTAAGAGGAGTGATACAAGTCAGTGCACGCAAAGGGTACTTGGAGGAAATCTAGCTTCTGAAAACCACTGGGATTATTTCATGAAAGAAAGGATATTTTAAGATTAAGGAAATAGAAGAAAGACATACCTTAACTTAAGGGTCGGGCTGGTGAGATGGCTCAGTGGTCTAAAGCACCTCCTTAGAACAAGCTCAGCAAAGCACAGGACCGCGGTTCAATCCCCCAGCACCACATGCCAGCCTTCCCCGCCCCCTGGTGGGCTGAGCTGGCCACACACACACACACACACACACACACACAAAAAAAAAAAAAAAATTAAAAAAAACTTAAGGGTCATTATTCTCAAAAAAGAATAAGTTCCCAAAAAAAGGCAGGTTCTCTGCCGCATGGAAACATGTGCATGAGCAGCACAATTCCCAAAGGACTCGTGGAGGGAGCAGTGGCCGCCCCTCTGCTGCTAACTTCGGGAACATCTGTTGCTAACCATGTTTGGGAATCACTGATGAGGAGCAATAGCTAATTTTTGTTATTTGGTTGTTCTGGCAGCTTTTGATCAAAAACTGAGATTTTGTATTACCATCTAATTTCGTACTCTGCTGATTACCTGTGTTTGACTTTTTTTCCCAAATCAAAATAATAAAAAGTATTGTAAGTGTGAAGAAGTGATAGGGAGATTCCTGTTTGAAAGGTTTATTTCCTCGTGCATGCAACTTTAATAAAAGGCAGCTTCCCAGCTCCTCTGTGTCCCTTCCTCTTTAGGGAATGTTCTGACAACTTTACTAATCCTTTTTGATAGCAATGGAAGAGCCCTTTGTGTTAAGTGAGGTCAGGTTTCAACAGCGACTTCAGTTTCTAGGTATAAAAATGAACTTATGGAATAAGGTTGTCATGTAATAAGCGTCCCCCCTACTTTTATCTATACCCTCATTGTTCCTGTTCTAACTTTCTCACTAGTAGAGATAGAATTGAAGAGTCGCCAAACCTATAGTATCTTATTTCTCTCCGTTTTTACATTTTTGAGTTAATGACCCAGGATGACCTGTTAGTAAGCTCGTTTCCACTTTCTAAAGTGCTTTCGTTTGGAATCTTCTGTTCATCAACAAAGGATGTCTTTTTTGTTGGAATTCTATTAATGAAAGTATAACTCTTGTTTGTTGGTTTCCCACAGAGCATTAGAAAATCAGTAGATTAAAATAATAATAATAAAAAAAAAACCTGGGAGTCTTTTGAGCCCCTTGTTTGGAGAAAAAGACTAACAGTGGTTTTCTCATACGTGTGGTGCCTGAAAGGAATTCCTGTAGTGGTCCACTTTAGGTGGGATAGAAATCTGTTGAGTAGCATTTACTCAATAGCCTGGGTTCAAACAATGTATTGGTTTTTTTCTAGGCAGGAAAGGTGTATCCTGCAGAGGCCCCAGTAAACATCCAGGGTTTAGCTTAGCAGAGAGGATCTGGGAAGCAGGGAGCAGGGGTTGGGCTCAGTCCCAGGGGAGGGACCCGAGTGTCACTATGATTAATCCAAGCACAAGTAAAACTCAGCAGAGCTGCCCTGAGAACAGACCACACCACTGGTTGCTTCCTGGGTGTGAAACAGCAGTAACGCATAAGGTTTTCCTGGTCTTTTTGGTCACCTCAGCTTCTGAGGCTCTGTCCTCTTCTCTCTGATTTGGCTGGGTGTTCAGACAGGCTGACAGTGTCATTGAAAGTAATGGCCCCAAAGCAGTAGTAGCTGGGCTCATCACTTACAGTCCTGACAACTGAAAATAAATGCTTGCTTAATTTTTCTTCCTTCTCCAAATAGAAAGGAACGCCCTATATCACTGGGGATTTTCCCATTACCTCCTGGAGATGGGCTGCTTACTCCGGACACTCAAAAAGGCGGTGAGACCCCAGGATCAGAGCAGTGGAAGTTCCAGGAGCTGAGTCAGCCCCGCTCGCACACCAGCCTGAAGGTGAGCTGTGTTCTGCCAGTAGGCTCAGCCTCCGTGCGATGAGCTTTCTTATCTAAACAGAAGTCCTGACAAGCAACGCTAGTAAAATGTATCATTTAGAAGCTTGGCGTTTTAAAACTGGAAATAACTTTTCCCCGGACTAGTTCCTGTTTGATTGAACTGTATAAGATGAACCTCAGGTGGGGTGACTAGTAACCCTAATTTTTTTAGGATAGAAAATCACTGTTATCTGCACTTCCTAGCACATTGTTAGTGACTTACCTTTAAAAATAAAACAAAACATTGTTTTCTCCGTCAAAACTATTTCTTGAAGCAGTATACAAAGTTCATTGTGTTTGACCAGGAGGGCCTGGTGCTGACTTGCTATAGGTTGTATTCTTGATACAGAACTTGTCATCAAGTAAGTGGTAAATGCGATGATGGCGTTGCCTAGCCAGGCATGGTGGCCGGGGCCTGTGGTCCCAGCTTCTGGGACTAAGTCAGGGAGACTTTGTGAGCCCACGACATCCCAAGCAGCCCACTGAAGCAGCAAGATTCCTTCTCAGAAGAAAGTGGAGATGTACTAATCACTAAGCTAAATTTTTGTTTTTTAAGTTAGTCAGGTGTATGGACGTGTACCTGTGTAGCCAAGGAGTAGGGAGGCTGAGACGAGAGGGTCACATGCGCCTAGTCGGGATGACAGGGTGAGCCCCTGCCCCAGAAAACAAAGGTAGACATTTGTGTTCTCCATCTTACAGAATGCTTATAAGGAAGGTATTGGATTATTTAAAAAGCCTTGTTATAACAGGCTACTGTATCATATAACAAGCACACTGTTTATACATAAACAAATATTTGTACCCTTCCCCCTTTTCATGCTTGTTAAGACAGGTTCTCCCTCAGTTGTCTACAATGGGCTTGGATTTTTGATCTCCTGCCTCAGCTTCCTGAGTAGCTAGCCTGGAATTCAGGCATGTGGCACCTCCGCTTTCTCAGAACGGAGTGTTGGGGTGGCGGGGGCACACCAGGAGTAGAACTCAGGACCTGGTGCTTGCCAGGCAGGCGCTGTGTTGCTGAGCTAGGTGCCCCTCCCATCAGAACATGTTTTTAAATTATTTTTTTTTAGATGTTGGAGTCTTTTGAGATAGTAAAAATGGTCTTTCAGTTCTAGACAGTAAAGATTTTTCAGTATCATTCTGTTGACCTTTGAAATGTGCTCAAAGCAGTAAACCCTCATTAAATATGTGACAGCTTTTCTCCCCCTGAAAAATGTTTTCGTTTCTTGTTTTCCGGCACTGGGGATTGAACCCAGGACCTTGTTTGTTCTAGGCAAGTGCCCTTCCACTGGGCTCCATCCCAGCCCTGGGAAGCATTTTCTCAGGCCCTCACCCATTTTCTTCCCTTTAGGTTTGTTAGAACTTAGGCACGTCGGCCTGGGAGACACCCACGTTCTTCACGCCTACAGCCACACCGGCTTTTTAAGTCTGCCTGTAGGTTTAATAGATTTTCCAAAATATCTGTCCCTCATTAGTCTACTTGCTGTGTCCCCTTTCCCAAAACAAAATTAAGTAGGGGGAATACTTTTAGTACATAAAAAATGAATTACTATATGGCAGCTATAGTTTATATTTATTACCCAAAAGTACACTTTAACAGACAATTATTATAATTCTTGTATTACTTAATCCAGTGACATGCTGTGACAGAACTTCACTGGCAGGTTACAAGCTGATTAAGAGGTGATTAATATGGGCTTAGCATAGGGGGCTTTTGGGTCCTCCTTGGAGACAGGAAGGCCAGTGCTCCCAGAGAGATTCTAAACATCTTGCTCTGCACATGGGGCATGGAGCCACTTCCTGGAATAAAGACCAACAGAGAATGACGTTTAGGAACCAGGTGGTACATTGCGGAATGGCGCGTGTCTGATGTGTAGAGTGTGCCTGCGCCCTAGGCCCTGTCTTACCTGTGCCCTTCTAATTAGACCTGGTTAACTATACCGGGCTGGGAGTCATGGTTGGGCTCTATCACAGGCTGTCACTCACCTTCCCATTTACATTATCTCTTAATTTAAAATTTCCTCAAACTATTGGTAATCCTAGTAGTCTGGGAGGCTGAGGCAGGAAGATGGCAAGTTTGAGCCCACCCTGGGCATTTTAATGGCTTACTTTGTAGCTTACTTTGTAACCCAGGCTGGTCTTGAACTCGCAAGATCCTCCTGCCCCAGCCTCCCGAGTGTCTCCCCATCCCTGGTACTGCAGCCAAAAAGAAAGAAAAGAAAAGAAAAGAGAGAGAGAGGTGGGGAGAAGTGGGGTGGAGAGAAAGAGACTGGAAGAGAATTACAATTACCATTTTATGAGTACTGTTTTCTTGTGATGTAAAGTTAAGATAAAAAAATGTCTTGTGAGAAAAGCCGCATGATGGATTACAACCAGGGAACAGAAAGTTTTTGGCAAAAGAAAAAAAAAAAAAAAAACAGTAAAGGGAGATTTGCCAGGATATAGGCCGCCTTTGTTTCTATATTGAAATTTTCCCACTGTGAGAAACCAGTAGTGAATGAGGTTATAAATAAATCATTGGATTTTCTTGGAAAAATGGGCCTAGCGAATGTACACTTCTTTAAAGCTTGTACAGGTGTCCCCCCTTCCCTGTTTCGGTTTGGTTGTTGGGTTTTGGGGTTTTTTGGCTTTTTGAGACAGGGTCTCTCTAGCAGTTCAGGCTGGCCTTGAGCTTACTTTGTAACCCAGGCTGGTCTTGAACTCGCAAGATCCTCCTGCCCCAGCCTCCCGAGTGCTGGGATGGACGACAGGCGTGCACCACCACGCCTGGCTCAGCTTTCTCTCAGTTGGTCCGTGTTTGGGATGCACGGTAGCTGTTTTCACCTGGAGGAACTGGCCCACATGCACACGCCATGATCTTTGTTACTCTCCTTCCCTGACCCTGCATTTTGTTTCTTGATTCATCACATTGTTTGAAGGTGGACCAGTAGGTAAATGAACAAATGAAATGATGGCATCACAAGTGTTGATAAGCACTGTTTAAAAAGCCCAAGGTACTTAGTAGGGAAAGGTGCCTCTCTCAGGGTGACGTTGCGGGATGCGCTGGTGATCGGGAGATGCGCAGGACAGCGACATGGCAGGTCACAGCCGCCGGGCTGAGGTGGCAGCTGCATTTCCGTGTGTTTGGGGAGCAGGCTTTTCTGCGATGCACACGCACCTCTCCGACTGGTCGTTCCCGCCCGCTGCACCAGCGTGCCCCGCCCTGGATTACAGCCTGTGCAAGCCGTTGCTGTCCTAACTATATCCCATGCACACACCGGTTCTACCCTGCTTGTTTACTAAGGCAGGCTAGCCGTCACAGCTTTGTGACACCTCATCCAGCGCTTGTTCCATGAGCCTCAAATTCTTTAGAGATCTGTTCAAGGCCAAAAGCAGAGGGGTTTTATATTGCTTCATTAATAGATTTATTTTTCTTTAACTGGAGATTCTCTAGTAAAACAACAACAACAAAGTTGTTCTTCTAGAAATTGTGTCATAAAAGTGCTCAGGGTGGGGACAAGCAGTAATGGTAAAGGGAAGCTTTTTACCTGACTGACTGGTGCTCTGCTCAGGCTACAAGCCAAGGCGGAGAGCAGGTGTCACAAGGACAGCTCCACAGAGGGCCACAGTGCAGGAACCTGCCCTACTCCTATGGTGTAAAGCACTAGTAGTACAGGACCGTCATCTTCACACCCTCTGCTTTCTGTACCATTCACCTCCCTGGGACCATTTTAAAGAACTCTGGAACAGCACTGTGGCCCTGAGCCCTGGAGCGGACTGGTGCACCGTTGGGCCTACAGTTTGTGTGTGAAGCCCGTGGTCTGCAGGCTGCGCTGTTGCAGATGTGCTTGGCATGCAGAGGGAAGGCCCAGAAGCCCTGCTGGTGGGAGGACTTTCCTTCCGCCTCCGGCTGGCTGGCTTCTGTTCTCAGCTGGCTCCCAGGGCTTGCTTTCCACAGGCTCAAGTCTCTAGAACCCTTGAGTCCTGTTCCTCTTACTGTCTGTTATCAAAGAGTTCCTGCAATAGAGAGACTGCACCAAATACATAAAAAATTCCCACAGTAGAACACATTACCATGTGCAGTGGCAAATTTTAAAATCATGGAAAGATTTTTTTTAAAAGCACCTTTCGGGGGGCCGAGGAGATAGCTCAGTGGAATAAGTGTTTGTCTGGCAAGCACAAGGTCCTGAGATTGATCCCTGGTACCACAAAAAAAAAAAAAAAAAGCACCTTTTGAAGTAATTTCAGAACAAGAGCAAAGTTGCACAAAGGGTACAGAGTTCTTGTACACCTCTCTCCCAGCTTCCTCAGATGCCAGCTATGGCGCAATTTTCAACAGTGAGGCATTACATGGGCCTGTGTGTGGTAGCATTCAAGCTGGCCCTCAGTGTCCCTGCCCCATTGCAGGCTCTGTGTTGGACCTTCCATTGTATTTCATCATCTTGTCCCCTCCGGCCCCTTTGTGTGAGGCTGCTAGGTCAGTCAGTCTTTTATGACCTTGAGGCTTTTGTAGGGTACTGGCTAATTGTTCTGTGGAATGTCTCTGCAGTTAACCTTCTCTAATAATTTCTCACAGTTAGATTGGGGTTAAATTATCCCCCATGGACTGAGGATTGAACCCCAGGCCTTTACAATGAGCTCCATCCCTGTCTTCTTTTTTTATTTTCAGATAAGAGCCTCACTAAGTTATTAAATTGCCCAAGTCTCACAAAGTTATTAAATTGCCCAGGCTGGGCTCAAACTTTGCAGTCTGTCCTCTTCAGCACCTGCCTACAAGTGTGAGGTCCAGGTTTGATTTCCAGTAACAAAACAAAACTGGCCTGCTGAGAGCGTGGTGGTGCACGCCGGTAACCCAGGCACAGGGGGAGGCTGAGGCAGGAGGACAACTGCAAATTTGAAGCCAACCTGGGGTACAAAGTAAGTTCAAGGCCAACCTAAACTGCATAGTGAGACCCTCAAAAAGATTAAAAAAAAAAAAAAAAGAAG